GGCATAAATTTAATAGAATGCAATGGTTCAAATGTCGAAGAAAAAAGGTTAAGCATCAAATTATTTAGTACAGAGAATTGTGGAGACAGTTTTGTGTGGGCAATCTATCTATTTCTTGACAGGAGAGTATGGAGATTCCTTCCATGTCCTGATGATTCCACATAGGAAAAGGTACATTTCTTCTGTGGATAAGGCAATAAACAGATCAATCCTCACACCAGTTTTTCCTGAAAATTGGTTTTTCTACTAGCTTTTTATTTTTGATAACCGTGGTACCCGAGCCAGCTTGTGCGCATCTCAAGTAATTCCACGGTATACTTGTCAGGATACCACCAGCAACAGGTACAAGGTAACTCTGTCCACCACCAATGCTAGAATAGATGGGGAAAATCATCTAGTTTTTTTCTCTACTTACTAGGTGATTGGTGGAAAAAGTTACTCGGTACCTGTTGTTGGTGGGAGGTGTCGGTTTCCCGTAGAATTTGTCAATGTGCGCACAAGCTGGCCCAAAAACAACGGTTAACCAAAAAAACAAAGAAAAAAAAATCCCTCCGTCAGCCTCCAGTAACTTCCTTGTAGCCTCTCCACATCCAGCTAACACCTACCTCACTTGAAAAATCCCTTCTCTCCCCCCAACCCCCTTCCTCCACCGCCAGTAAATGCTTCCCATCACCCCTTCCCTGACCCATATGAAGTCTTCCTCCTCTTTCCCGAGAAAAAAAGGATGATGATACGGGACCACGGAGTGTTCACGATCAGATCTCCTCATCCAAATGGTATTAAAAATATACTAATAAACAATTTAGCCTTGCCAACCAACAAGTAGTATGCAGAAAAGTTCTCGTCCAAGCAGGAATAACAAAGGATCTCTCTACATAGAAAGAATTTTGTCCATTAAATGAAGCAAACAGGATAGCAGCTTAAGCTCCTTGAAGTATATAATTTCCCAACCTTGAGAAAGTTTTTTAAGAATATAAATAAATGTCTCAAAAACCATATCAATCATAAGAAAAATCCCAATGGAAAGAAAATAAATGAAGAAGAAGCTTTAAATCCCCGAGGAAAAACAATAAAGAGGACATTACTATTAGCAGAAAAAAAGATAATGACAATAAAGCACCTAAAAGTTAGAGATAAAACATATACATGGACTGTTGTAACTACTGAAGCTCATGATGTTTTACCGCATATGTAGTAGAAGCTTAGTTCACTATCGAATCCCCAAATCAAACGAAGCCAGGATTTCTTGTATGTATCAATGATGTAAACTAAGTATCCCAATGAAGCTATAACCTGCACGTAGAATTAAGCCATCAACTGAATATAGTTTCGACAGAGAGGATTAAAGAGACATCTCAAAAATCAAACAACAAAACTAAAGAGGGACAACCACCTACAAGTTGAACCGCAAGAAATATGGATAAAATGTCTCTGGTTACGAAAAATCGGAACTTCAAAGTCCGCCATTTTCTGTCATCATTAACGTGAGCTCTCAAGTGATAGGGAGCTTTGCAAGTAGTGCAATGGGCAAAGGCAAATCCTTCCTGTAAAAGACAAAATATTTGCTATGAGTAGATAAACTTGCATGTTTGGCGGTTCAAGCTTAAGAAAGTTCGTGTCACTACATGCAGCCTGTACTGGATGTATTGGTCTAAAGCTTCACCAGCACTCTAATATTTGGCTCTTACAAACATAAAATAAAGTTCAAAACTTCCTTGAAAATAGCTGATTGAAAAGGCTGAAAAATACCTTGACAGCACGCCAATGATCAAGGCACTCACGATGGACATACTTTGATGTTCCCTTGCACTTGCAAGGTGCTATAAAGTCCCTACCTAAAGAGCAAAGTGAAACATTTGCAAACATCTCAATTACCAAAATCATGAATTTTTCATATAGATGTATACTAACATGCACTTGAATAAACTAAACAACCAGCTTCTTTCCTAATAGAGAGTACAAAAACCTAATTGACACTGCGTGTTTCACTTGTCTAGACAAAATGCCAACTTCAGTCAGCCATACTCTCGCATTGATATGAAGAACATTATTAAGGCAACCATAAACACTTAGGCTGCGGAACTATTTGAGGTTTATGGAAGGGACAAAACACACATTTTTGGACTCCATATTCACCATAAACAACCAACCTTTCAATTTTCAATGTAAAGAATCCCACATCACCAAGCTTTTCAAGATAAGCTAACTGCACAACTCACATAAACAAGCTTATATTCCCAAAAAAAAAAAAAAAAACACTTCAAACGAAGAAAATTTATCCTTTTCTTTATAACCATCGTATCCATACCAGCTTGTACGTAACTCGACTATTCCCCTAGGGTTCTGTCCATAAGGCTTTTTTGACTCATGGGGAACAAATTACCTAGTGCTTCTGAACATGGGACCTCATAGTTTCCAAGTAGTCCCAACTACTTCATTGAACACTAGACCACACCCTTACCCTTCGTTGCAAATTTCAAAAAACTAGAGAATCTCTTAAATCCCACACTCATCTCTACACTAACTCTAATGTAAATACACCAACATGGACTATCCCTTATACCCAACTAAGCCTTGTAAGTATTTTCAGTTTGTGAAATTTAGCTAGCATTTGACCATAAATTTTTATATGTCACTTTAAACTCACAAAAATTCAATTTTTTTCCACACATCCAAACACAACTACTTCCAAAAAAAAAATCACAACATCATAAACTCAAATTTTCAAATTTCAACTTCAAAATCTACGAACAAACAAGAACTACTTAGACAATTTACAATATTGAGATCAGGGGATCTATAAAAATTGAAAATTTACACAAAACCCATAAATCTACAAAAAAAAAAAACTTACCGTCAGATTCGAGGCAAATACGGCATTGAATATGTTCATCAGGACCTGCTTCAAGGTCTATAATATCATCATCATCATCATTAATATTAGGTACTGTAATCAAACTAGGAGGGATCAGAGGAGAAGATTCTTCAGGTTCGGGTTCGGTGTGATCAACACCCACACCCATTTCAATTTCTTTTGACATTTTCACTCAGAATTGTTAAATAGAGACAGAAATTTGTACAAAAATGGATCAAGATTTGATACCCAAAACAATATATATGTATAGATATAATTAGTATGTATATCTTCCCCAACTGATCCTTTTGTTTTCTCTTGTGTTGTCTGAGATTGAGATGACAACAAACAAGAGAAAGTGAAAATGGTAAAGGAAGAGAGCAGATAGAAATACTTTTAAAATTAATATTTTCTTTTAAGGTTGTGGAAACAATTATTCCTCTTGGGTTTTGCCGTTCATTTTCTTACCATATTAATTTTAATTTTACCTTCAAGGAAAATTAAAGCATTACCATAATTGTTTTTAATTTTTTTTTGAAAGGAAAATATAATTTTCTTTCATATTTGGTTTATTCTTTTTCTTAGAGGAAAATATAATTTTGTTTCATATTTGATTTATTCTTTTTCCTTAGAGGAAAAGTTTGGAGATATATAAATGGAACATCACTATTCTCATAGCATAACATAATAGCATCCACAATATAGTTTATGAGGAGATTTTCTCTTAAACATATTTATGGTTTTTTTCAATATTATATTAGTTTTATAATATGTAGGTTACTTGACCAAACACTATTAATAATATGTTTTTAGTATGTTTTTATTTGTCGTCTAATTTATCAATCATATGATTTACAAATTATAAGCTTCCGCATGACTCCCTAATTACCTTCATAACCCAACACTTTGACCTAATTTGGTGAATTAAGGTTTCACGGAAATCTGAGTTGCATCTGTCATAGTATTAATTTTATACATGTATTTTTAGTTACCCTATTATTTTATCGTTATTATTATTTTCTTTCCCTAGATATAACACAATGCTTTTCTTATTAATTGACATGTCTTTCTTATTAATTGTCGTATTTTTCTTTTCATCAATATTCTAATTTATTGTATTTGAATAGAGAATCTTTCGAAAACAACTTTGTATTTTACACTTCTATGAATCTAGATGATCATTGGGCCAATGCTTCATTTGTTATGTATTTGGCATATCAGATGCATAGGAGAGTGACGAGCAAGATAGGAGAGAGGCGAGCGAGATTTATTATGTATCTCACATACATGTGAATTCACTTGGATATAATATATTTAGAATAAAAAACACGTAATTTTGACCCTATATATCACGAGATACATGTATCTAAACATATCTGGATGCATCAAAATATCATAAAATTCTTAATATTGCAAACTATAGTACATCTAAGTAACTAGCTCTTAAACTAGTGTGATTTATGCAAGTTCTCCTCTATTTTATCCTTCTCATATTTCACATATGAAACTGTCTTGACTACTAAGTATGTTGTTGTGATTGTTACTCAATTTATGAAATTACATTAAAAAAATTAAATTGAATTTTAATAAAGAGTAAAAAATAAATTATTCGATAAATTTAGTATTTTTTAGACCATGTGATTTTAATATTAACATACTCAAAATATAGGGATTTTAATGATAGAAGCGATAGTTAAACAACTTTCGTAAAAACAAATACGTTAGTTACGTGATCATATATAAAATTTTAGGTTTTAACTTACTTCTCGGGCGGATTTAGGTTTTACTGAAATCTGTGCGGCATCTGTTATAGTAATTTTATACATATATTTTTTTAGTTACCCTATTATTTTATCGTTATTATTATTTTCTTTCCCTAAATATAACACAATGCTTTTCTTATTATTTGACATATTTCTTTTTATTCTCATATTTTTATTTTTATTTATTACATTTGAATCGAGAATCTTTCGAAAACCACTTTGTAATTTATACTTCTATGAATCTAGAAGATCTCATTGGGCCAATGCTTCCTTTGTCTTTGTGGGCCTCAAGAACAGAGGTAAAAAGTCTTGTCTATTTTCTCATTGATAAAAACAAGGTGAATCAGCAAAAGCAGACTCCAAAACCCTGCTGCCCTCTTTTCCCTTCGTGTTTAAGCAAAAATCTCACTCAAAAATCCTAACCTTCAAGCTCCCATGGCTGCTAACAACGAGGTGAAAAAGCGAAAGCTTGCCAAGAAGGCACCAGATTCCATTGCTACGCCCTCTAAAATCAACAAGAATCAGCCGCAGCAGCAGCAAAAAACACCCAAATCCAATTTTTCTAACCCACCCATTTCCGATTCCGATTCCGACTCCGACCCATTACCGGTGAAAATCCAGAAACTTCTCGAACCTTTCTCAAAGGATCAACTGGTTGCCCTAGCGGTGGATACCGCAGCTGCTCTCCCTGCTTTTTACGAGCTTATCCAGTCAAACGCTGATAAAGACATCAGTCACAGGAAAATCTTCGTTTATGGGTTGGCGCGTGAGACCACGCGCCCGGCGCTGCTGTCCGTCTTTGAACCGTATGGGGAGATTGAGGAATGCAACGTTGTGATGGATCATGCTACTGGAAAGGCTAAAGGGTATGCCTTTGTTCTGTTTAAGACTAGGAAATCAGCTGCGAAAGCGCTGAAAGAGCCTCAGAAGATGATCAACAATCGTTTGGCTTCGTGTAAGTTGGCTTCAATGAAAGAGACTGCTGTTTCTGGGACTAATGAATTTGGTAACCGGAAGATCTATGTGAGTAATGTGCCGAAGGATGTGAATTCAGAGAAATTGAGGAGCTTTTTTGCTAAGTTTGGGGAAATTGAGGCTGGACCAATGGGATTTGATCCATCAACTGGGAAATCAAAAGGGTATGCTTTGTTTGTGTACAAAACTGTGGAGGCGGCGAAGAAATGTCTGGAAAAACCCTCTAAGATTTTTGAGGGGAGGCAATTGCATTGCAAGAAGGCGGCTGAGGGCAAAATTGGTGGTGGAGCGGCTAGTATCACTACGGAGGTTGTACAGCAGCCGCTGCTGGCAATGCCACCAGGGCAAGGTGTGTATGCTCCAGTTGCTGCTGGTCACAGTATGGGGATGTTGGGTCAGAACGTGGATGTGCCGATGATGAATCCGTTTTATGGTGGAGTACTTGCTAATCCGTATGGAGCGTATGGGAATCCATTCGTAGGAGTTGGTGGTTTCGGGCAGCAATTGGGTGGTGGAATGGGGATTGCAGCAGGATATGGTGGGAGGTTAGATGGTTTAGGTGGGGGTGTTTCAGGTTTAGGGGCATATGGTGGTGCTGGTAGCAGCACAGGTGGTTCTACTGGGGGTTTAGGGGCATATGGTGGTGTTGGTAGCAGCACAGGTGGTTCTACTGGGGGTTTAGGGGCATATGGTGGTGTTGGTAGCCGCACAGGTGGTTCTACTGGGGGTTTAGGGGCATATGGTGGTGTTGGTGGCAGCACAGGTGGTTCTACTGGGGGAGTGGTGCCTGGCTTAGTGCAGCTCTACAAGCAGGTTGGCCAACCTTCATCTGCAAAGCATCCGGGAAGCAGTGGCTACCCGTCGCATTTCAGGTACTTGGTCTTCTATTTGATACTCTTATGACTATGTTTTGTGTAAAGTTGTTCTCCATTTGTTCATTTTTTACTTGTCCACGATAGACTTTGCACTCCCCTTAATAAGTAGAGATAGTAATAAATGATGTGCATATTTTGTTATAATATCCATGACTAATAACATTTCAAAAAGTTCTCGGGAAATAAGTGATTAATGTTAAGGGTAAGACATGAAAGAAAGATTGTTTTCTGTTGATATGGTCGAGTAGACAAGTAAAATTGAACAGAAAGAGTATTTTTGTTAATTCAATTCTTACTTTGGAGATATTTGCATATAGTCTCTCACTATTTGAACTTCTATCATCATTTCTGCTAACTATTAAGATTATTCTTTCCATAAACTGCATTTTCTTGATTTGTTCCTTCTACTTACATGTTATTATTACTATTTTCTAAACTTGCTTATTTGGTATGCTAGAACATCTGTACAGGCAATCTGACTAGGTTACCAGTGTTATTTTTGTTCTTATTTCCATGTTTTGCTTTCAGTAGAAGTAAAGTTCTTCACTTTTTCCTAAATTTTCTCGTCTCTGAGTGCCCTACTTTGTTGCTAAAAGTATTCAACTATAATTGGTATATCTTACTAATTAGTAGAGGCGGACCAACATTTGAGGGTGCATGTGTTAACTTTGGAAAAAAATTATACATGTATATTCCTAAATAAGAATAATATATTTAATTGTGCACCATTAAACGCAAAGGCTGATTTGGTGCACTGGTCCAATGTGCTTATCTTTCTGCTTCTTCGCAAGCAAGGTGTCCTGTGTTCAATTCTTGGTCACTACATTTTTTGTTGTCATTTTTTCAAAAAAGAAAAAATCCATATAAATAAAAACTCAAGCCAGATTCGAACTAGCAACCTCAAAGTATACAGGGTCAAAACCATCAAACCAAACATTGAACCATGCTACACTCTCGTTTACTTTATATTTATGATACCTTCCATTTTATACTTCTTTGACAATATTTTCCGATTAAGTGTCAGTACTCTGCGTCTAGTAGTGCCTTTGTCTTCCTCAAATCCTAGGGTCGCCTTTGCTAACTAGCGCCTAGAATTTGTTTTATATTAGTTATAGGTGATGTAAAATGGATATAAATTGATTGAATGGGTATAGAGGACTCGTATAGCCGACCGAACTAGTTTGGATTGAGGCTTAGTTGATTGATCTATCTCAAAAACCAATGAATTGTCTTAGAACCTATGGTTCAGTTGTTGTGAGCTAAAGTCGATAAGTAGTTAGTGTGTGTATATGACATGTAGATTCGATAGCTATGGTCATTCATCATAAAGAATCTCAAGTTCACTAAGCAAACTACAACCAGAAGCTATCTGAGTAACATCTCAGCTGAAAAGAGGGGTGAAAGTAGTCATTTGGAGTAAAGGAAAGAAGAAATGTGAACGAGTTAAAAGATAAAAGAAAATTCCAACCATTCAACAAGTAAAGAGTCATTACGAGTAAAGCGTTGTAGTGAAAATGGAAAATAGTCAACCTTTATCCTGCTACCTTTGCGACCGCCAGCTAATCAGATACCCGCTGTGCTCCTCCCCTTTCCCTTGTGCTATGAATATGTGACATATATATGTGAAGAAAAAATTCAGACTAAGGTATGTTTAACAAATCTAACGACAACATTTGTTGTCCGTGATGTTGATTCTTTGTTATCATATTACATATTAAATACTATCTGTTCCCCCAAAATAAAAAAAATTCAATCTGCCTCCTATGCATGGGAAAAACTAGCATGTTCCAGAAACATAGGTCTCTTATGATACTTTACACCTTTCTTTGTGAAATTAGGAATCCCAGGTAAAGCAAGGACGCGAGCACGAGTTAATTAATTGATAAATTGTTTTTTTTTTAAAAGTTATATCCCTCTTGATTATACTTGTATTAGCTTGAACCTACTACCAAGCATTGAATATGCAAAGATGTGTTCTTAATTTGAGTATCCAATAGTCTGTGCTTCCTGTTCTTCCTTCTCTTTTTATATCAGTTAAATGACCTTTTGATTTCGCTTCGCCTTATACGTAGCCCCAGCCCCTTCTCCCGTGTTAAATCTATTATCTGGTACTTACTTGTGTATGATTTTGCAGATGAACAACGCCTGACCATGATGAAATGAAGTCATTGAAGCATCTGATGAGTGTCTAAGGGTCAGTCTTTGTCAGTGGCTTGGGTTTTATCGGATTTGTAGCGATATGTTTCTTATATCTTTACTTTCATACAATCCATACTTCTTACTGATATGCCAAGTTCCTATAGAACTTGCTAAGATAATGCCGTATGCATTACCCTTCTCTTTGGTGGATATATTCCTTCTAGACTTATTTTGAAGTGGATTTGTCGAAAAAAAAATAATCTTGCTCTTATATTTGTTCCAATATTCTTATTTGGCCAAGTATTTTCTTGATATTGTTATTAGGCCTTATCGTATGCCATATCATCTTTCCCCTCTTTGTGAAAATATGCTTTTTAAGTATGAAAAATTTATCACCTTGAAATTTCTGTGTGTGTGTGTATATATATAGTCCTTTGCTTAGTTTTAAAACATCATTTTAACTATTAACAAGGATGACTAGGGGTTCTTCTATGTTTATTGCTAACTACTAATAGAATTTTTTAATATTTTTTCTCAAAAATTTACCTATTCATATCTTTATTCTGTTAAAAAAACTCCTAACGTTATTCAACTTTTTACGAGTTTGTGAAGTTTTGTTGTTAACTAATAGACAATTTTGATTTTTTTTCTCCATTTTAGCCAGTCGCATCTTTTTCTTTTAAAAACACAGGTCTTATTTTTTCTGTTGTTTTAATTTGTTCAAGCTAATTCTTTGTTGCTCGGACTCTTCAGAAATGTCAATGGGTACGTGTTGGATTTGCCAAAAGTAAGTGCATTTTTGTAGAATTCGACACGATTGCGACATCAAAAGTGAAGAGTCGCGCAACTAAGAGCTAATTAGGCTTGTTTTTTTTCTTTTAGAATAGATATTGATTCATTTTATTCTTTTTTTCCCTTCATTTTTTATTTTTTGAGAAATGACTCTCAAACGTGAATGAAAGTCATTTCGTCACTTCCTTTTGCATGAAAATTCACGCTTCTCACTTCATTAGGCTCGTCTTTAGAAGTTTTGAGGTGGATGTTATCTTTGTTCTTATTCACTTTCAAGTGAATTTTTGTCATTGGGAGTATGTTTTTCATTGTTTAGCTTGTACCATTAACTTTCTGGTTTCTCTTTGTATATTATATTCACCTGTAAAAAGCTTATTAAATTTGAAGAAAGGAAGTGTTAAAACTATCTTGCATTAGTTCTCTTCCTTTTCCTCCCTTATCCCATTTCGATCGCCCAACACTCTCCTAGGTATGATCACAAGTTTAATTTCTGTTGGTAGCGCTTCATGCTACAGATGTTGACAAGGTTACATATTGATGATATATTATGTTGCTCAGGTCCTAATTGGTTTTGGAGGATTCGACACACACCTGTGTGTCTGATATTGTTTTTTGAAGAGTGGTAGCAACATAATCGTAAGATTTACTTGTTCTTATTCTTGAACCCTAAGTCTTGCGGCATCATCCCTCTGTGAGTTGGTCTTCACTTGTCATTAGACTATGTTGGTTGTAGTTGTGTAGAATTTACTACATAGATTTTGATCATTTTCATATCAGAAGCAAGACTGCTTTCCCTGATGTATTGTACTTTTTGCCTAATTAATCGAGTTGAATACGTCTGTTGTTGTATTAACTTTAAAATTGTCTTATCAAAGTCTTGATCTATTCTCATTCAGCAGCAAAGCATAGTGATTTTTATGAATAGAAAAAGCATCCTCTAAACATTGCCACAGTTAGGAGTTTTTTAAGTAGTACTCTAGTTGTGCATTAAGACACAGTTACAGCAAGTGTCAACATAACAGACCTCGATAGTGATAGAAGAGGAGATGAGCCTGTTATTGATAATTTACTTCTTCCTCTTTTTTGGTGGCTGAATTTCTTCTTCTTCCTCATCTTCTTCTTCCTCTTCCTCTTCCTCTTCCTCTTCCTCTTCTTCATCGTCCTCTTCTTCTACAGTATCTTCCTCGCCTTCATCAGGCCCATCTTCGTCGTCATCTTCTTCATCAGGTTTATCATTATCTTCATCATCTGGACTGTCTTCACCACCACCCTCATCATCATCATCACCATTCTCTTCAGCACCGGCTTCCTCTTCTCTAGGATGTTTCTTGGAGTTGCTATCATTGGTGTTTGGGTTATTGTTCACATTTCCTCCATCTTCGGATGACAAGTCATCTCCATCACCATCATCATCATCATCCCCCGTCTCATTGCCGTCTTCCTCGGCATCAAGAGGTTTGCTTGGGGAAGATATATGATGTTCTTCTCCCTTTTTAGCCTTTTGTTCGACAAGCTTCAAGTACCCCTAAATATAAAAACAACATTAAAATTATAATCCGAATAAAAGTGGCCCTTAATTATTTTCTAGCTTGGTGCAAGTAAAACTTACTGGGTCAGCATTTTTGCTCCGCATAAATAAATGAGTTGCTACATTGAAGAGGAAATGATTATAAAATATTTTCTGTTTCAGGGATAGGTTCAAAATAATTTCGGTTTGGATTTTGACTTAAAATTTGATCAAATTTACTTTTTTTAGTCAGTTTTAGCTTTTGAAAAAGTTAAAAATCACTTAAAAAAAAGTTCAAAGTTAAAAAGTAAGTACTCCAAACTATTTTTTAAAGTTAAGCTAAACGACCTCTTAATATACTCTCCTAAGCAGTTTTGGTCCCATAGGTTGGATCTTGAACCTTGTATTACATGAAAATTTGGTTTAATAGTTCATAATATATTAAGACGACAGATTAAATACTTGAGTGAAATCTTACATGGTAAAGTATACATAACCTTACCTCTACCGTACAAGGATAGAGAAATTGTTTTTGATAAATCTTCGATTCAAGTAAAATATATAAAACAAGTTCTTAAAAAAAAGAAGAAAATATAATAAAGAATACCAATAACAACTACAATCAATATGAAAACCGAAGGAAAGGAAATAAAATAGAGAAACCATGCAGTGCTCCCCTACTTATTAACTTTCTATGATATATTCTTCTATGTAGGATCATGTTCTTGATAAATTGCAGATGTACTATATCTTATCTAAATATTTTTTTCTAAAACTTCTTCGGTCTACCTATGCCATGCTCTCAATATTGTTTTTTTAAAGTTATAAGCAAGGATATCTTTAGATGAATATTTTAATTGGGCTTATCTTTTGATCCAATACGTAAAGATATCAGATAACTGACGTGTCAATCTATTGGTTATTCAAGTTAGCAAAGAGCATAAAAGACGGAATATTCCTTGGACATGATTATATTCCCACATTATTATCTTTTTCACAAAATTATAGATATTTCACATTCAAGAGGACCTAAATAATGTTGTCGAATTTATGTAACCGCACTCCCTATTGGAAAATACAACACATAAAATATGTTCTAGTCTTTGTGTTTTTTTTTAATCGAAGGAAATCCATTATTGCTATTTTTGGGTGTGTTTACGTGAAATAGTTTGTAAATTATATAAAAAATTGTAAATTATGCTTAGACAAATTCAACGTAACGAACTCCACTGAAAAAGAAGTCAATTTTTTGATCTTCCATATAAGCAGTAGAAAAATGAACAGATCACGAAAAAGGATCTTAGATATTTTCTTCTCATGGATATAATTCGTCTCCGTAAATTTTTTCTAAAGAAAATGAGATAAAGAGGATAAGATAGAAACTAAAAAAAATATGACACGTACAGAATCACTAAAAACCAGGAAAATATCCAGGCTCCGGCGCATGTTAAGAAAAACAAAATAGCTTCTGACAGACATAAGACTTTCCAAATTTACATTTAGCCTAAAATAATCATAACAAGCTCTATTAATAAATTTGAAAAGCAAGTGACTATATAATATTAAATATGCTGAACGCGTTGATGAACATGTGTATTTGTTTTAATATATATGTGATTTGGGTAAGATTTCAAGATTCAGAATTTTAAACTTTAGTCATAAATTCAAATAAATTTAACTATATCGTATAAATTGAGACGGAGATATAAAAATCGATCAAAATTATTTTTAAGTACCTGGGTGAGAGTGAGGATCTGAGTTTTAACCAGCGAAGAAATAAATAAAGCTACCAGTGATTGACAGGCGCAAGTTAGCATACTCTGTCTAATCATGGCAACACTGCCTGAGCCTTTGCTTGTCTCCATCAGTACGGTACGGTACAATTACACAGACTAGCGCAGATCCCTGCATCCATCAATTCTCAGCCGTTAGATTATGACCAAACACAGAATTTCAGAAAACGATTAGACTATTCTAAGCTGCTAGTGAAGAAGACGACACCTTTTGTGCCGGAAAAATGTCATCCGTTCATCGGAGAACTTATTTTTGCCGGAAAACAGAAAAAAATGAGAAGAATTCATCACTTAACGAAGTAAACTAGAGAATTTGGCGAAATAAACTGAGCCTCAGAAGGTTTTAGAAAGAAAAATAAACTAAAGTAGAGTAAATTCAGCTAATCGGAACCGGAAAACAGAAAACAACGAGAAGAATTTATCTCGTTACGGAGCAAAAAAGAAATTTCGTGAAATCGTGATAGGAGAGCTCAACAAACTTCATCAATTGTCAAATAAACTGAACCGCACAAAATTCTACAAGGAAAAAAACAAACTGAAGTTGGAACAAATTCAGCTAATCGGAGCCGGAAAACAGAAAACAACGAGAAGAAACACCAATTTTTCTAAAGGAAAAAATTGAAGTAGATAAAATTGAGCTAATCGAAGCCGGAAAACAGAAAACAAGGAGAAGAACTCTTTCTTACAAAACTATAAACTGAACATCGGAATTTTCTAGAAGAAAAACCAGAAGTAGCTAAAATTCAGCGAATCGGAGCCGGTAAACTCACCGGAAATACAGATCGGCGTTCCGATGAAGCAGATCGGAGAGTTTTCAAAGCTATATCGTAGAGAAACTAAGATCAAAAGCAGGGTTCATTCTGGACCGTCCGATCAACATAGACCAAGCGATGGGGGTAAATATAATCAGCTTGAAGAAGGAACTCTTCGTTAGTGGTTGCTGAGAGAGAGCTGCCCGTAATCTCTCTTTACAGCCGTTACGGGCAGTCGGGCAGCGTTTTCTTCTCTAAAAATATCAGCTGCTTGATCCTGCCCGAACATTAGTACTGACAAGTGTGTGCAACTTTAGTTTACGTGTTTGATTAATTATGATGCAATAATTAGTGACTAGTGAATAATTAATTTATAATCACACAAACATATACGGAGTATAACTTACTTTAGAACATTAATTTCAAAAGTCTTTTTCTTTTTTAAACTCTATACCAAATCAAACTATATCATACAAAATGAAACATACAAAATATTAACTATAGTTAAGAGAGAAGATGAAATTTTATGGGCTTCAAATAAATTAGGTTGGGTTTATAGTGAAAAGGCCACAGATGCACAGCCCAACTGGGCATGGTCACTTTTCTATTGTTGATTTGTACTTAGGTCACCGTTTCAAGTTGGGTCATTCATAAATATTTCCAGGGAAAATTACGCTAATTAATAATTTATGGGTATTGGCGATGACTAGTATTGCCACCAAAACATATTATTAGTGGCGATTATTATAGGTATTCGCGGCGACTAGTGTTGCCACTATAACATACTATTAGTGGCGATTATTATAGGTATAGCAGCGATAAGTGTTGCCACTAAAAGATACTATTAGTGGCGACTATTATAGGTATTAGCAGCGACAAGTGTTGCCACTAAAAGATATTAATAGTGGTGACTCTTATGGGTATTCGCGGCGACTAGATTTGCCACTAAACATATTACTAGTGGCGACTATTATAGGTATTCGCAGCGACTAGTATTGCCACTAAAACATACTATTAGTGGCGGCTATTATAGGTATTGGCGGCAACTAGTGTTGCCACTAAAACATACTATTAGTGGCAACTATTATTGGTATTAGCAGCGACAAGTGTTGCAACTAAAAACAAACTATTAGTGGCGACTATTATAGATATTAGCAGCGACTTGTCTGACCACTAAAACATTCTATTAGTGGTTTTATAAGTATTAGCAGCGACTAAGGTTGCCACTAAAATGGAAGGACATACTTACCTCATTCCATTTCAACTCAACTCAACTTAATAACACTCAACTCAATTCAATTTTAAAGCAACAATAAAAATACAGTATAAAGAAAGCTTTTAAAACAATAGATAATAACTCAAAGTGTATAAAAATACAACAATAAACTCTTTACTGTTATTGAGAGATTCTCTAATTGATAACCATCACTATGAGCTACGTGATGATACAATCTTGCCACATTGCCAGATTTGTCCTATACCTTACCGGAGTAAAGGACATTCTCAATTAAATGGATCCACTAAGCTATGCTTAAAAACAATAAGGAATTATCTAAAAAATCTAATTTTTTACCCATGTTGGCATACTACTCCCAATAATATATAACTCATGCTCATATGTTTAAAAACATTCATGAGGATTTGAGATTATTTCTCAAAAGATTCTTCTAAAAGAGATAATGCTCAAAAACTCCTCATGAACTCATTTGGAAATCAACGTTTCCTCTCATTTTAAATTTAATCTGTTTGACCAATTTTTTAAAATTAGCTTATTTAAAAAAATATTTTTATGTAAAAGTTTTTTTTGAACAAGCACTTTCAGTGAGCAGCTATTTGTTTTGGCCAATTAATATTTTTGAGCAACAATATTGGATGTTTCATCAAATTTCTAAAAGGTGTTTTTGGATATATTTTCTCAAAAAATATTTCTCATACACTTTATTTTGGTAAATAAATTATTTTATTTATCAGAGCTAATGATATCTCATATTTCTATTTTGCGGAGATAATTAATTTTTATTTTAAAAAAAAATTCACAAGGCATAAGTTAGATATGCCAAAAGAAATTAAGTCAAGACATATGCCTCAAAACGTAAGTGCAGTGGTACAAGTTATGTCTAAAGATTTATTCAAAACATAAGTTTAGTGATCCAAGTTATGATCTGAGATATTTATGTTCGGTGGCACAAATTTTGCCACAAAAAAAGCATAAGTTTGATGAAAAAAGTTGTGTCCAAGACATAAGTTTAGTGAAACAAGTTATACCACAGAGCATAAGTTCAGTGACAAAAAATATACTCAAGATAAAAATTTTCTAAAATTGATTGTGCCCAATGAATTTAGGTTATAGTAAAGGGTATTTTAGCCCACATAAATAAGTAGTAAAGATAAAAATTAAAGGACAAAATTTAAAACCACCAAAAACAAAGTTAGAACAAAAATTTGTTTTTAAGTTAGGAATATTTGTATTTCTTTTTCTAAATGAAGTTTTCCCAAACTAATAGTGACATGGTCTAATATATATATATATATATATATATATATATGAAACCACATAATATATATAATACTGTATTCTTTTGAGAAAATCACACCGAATACATTCCTTTTTTTTAATCTTTTCTTAACATTTTTGGATTTTTTTAATTCATTCTTCACTCAGTTCTTAGTAGTCTTGCCAATGTCAATTATCTCTATCCATATTTTGAACTTAATGGTTAATCCATATGTCTGAAATTATATAAAATTAATTCTCAAACATGTACAACCTTTTAATTACTTGAGTTTTTGTTATGATAATTGACAAAAATAGATTATATTTATTATTGTTGTTTTATTGCTTACTATAGGGTTTAGTATGGTGGAGTTAAGCAAGTTAAAAGTAAGCTAAATATTACAAGAAAGGGAAAGAGCTATATTTAGACTATATTCCAGAATTCTTGTTTGGTCATGAAATAATTTGAAGTTGTATTTGAAATTTCGAAAAACACGAGATGTTTTCTCTTTTTACTATTATTTTATTTTCAAATATTAGTCCATTTTTTTTATTTTTTACAAAAACCATCCCATTCAATGGCCAAATACAATTGTGCCCCACCTTCAATTTAAAATTCCTAATAAAGTGAAACACAATGATTATGTGAGTTCAATTAATGTGAAATTAACAAAAAAAGAAATATTTTTCTCCAAACTGAAATTCCATTTTGGGCTACGACAATAAAAGAATTTAATTATAACATGTTTGAAATTTTCATTTTAGACGGCTATGCTCATCATAATATTTTTCTACAAACGAAAAAATCCATCAATCTTTGTCTTAAAGGAGATATTCTAAGAACAGTAAATCTTTGTCTTTATTTAATTGAGATGTTGCAAAATGAGCTTGTCACGAATCACTTTTATTTGATTGAGGTTATTTTATAAAAATAAGTTCATAAATTATGATAATTTTCTTCGCTCCATCATTAAGTAGCATGTTTGTTTCGCGTTTATTTGGTCGGTGCATTAAGTACCTAGTGGTTGCAACATATATCGATATCGAAAGCAATGGATACTAGGGGAGTGAAGAAGTTCCCCGGGCCGGGTTCAGTGTTGGATATCTTTTCTTCATACATTCTTCGCTTATAATAAAACATATTTTGAATCATATCAAATCTATATGATGCTAGATTTAGTTTTATTCCAAATGAAACTAGATATAAGGTGTGTTCAGTATCAAGGAGTATATATATATTTATTGAAAAATGAGTATTGCATGGGAGTAGCATGCAAATATATAGTAGTACATAAATGAAAAGACCGAAGTTGTAAACTACTAAATCAACCTTATCTCCATATTTCTTGAACTCGCCCTGTAATGTCACTATACGTTCATAGTGAAACCCAGCCTTCTCCAAAACCCTATGAGAAGCCTTGTTCTTCGAAATAGCACACGCGATAATCTTTACTATTTGAGGGAAGTCATTGAATATTCAAGGGATTGCCATTTTGAGTGCCTTTGTAGCAATTCCTTGCCCCCAATACTCAACTGCAATCGCGTAACCTATCTCTACAGCTTCAATATCATCCGACATGGCCGGATGAATTACCCATAGGAACCCAATGGATCGATCATCGATGCATATTGATACATGCCAAGGTTGAGGTATACACGCATCCTTGATGAAACTCAAGACTTCTTCTTTTGTGGTCAAAGTATCCCATCGGATGGTACTAGTAACACGTTTATCACCTGCCCATAACAATATATCATCAACGTCTGTTAATCTAAATGGACGCAAACTAATTCTTGACGACTCCATTGTATTGAGATCACAAAAGTTTTTGAAGCAAAAGGGCTATTTGAAGTGGAATTAATAATTAAAGAAAGGATGTGTTGTTTTGGGCTACTAATTGAGGTGTGTAATAATTTATAGATGAAATATAGGCAAAATAAACGTGGAAGAAAGAGAGAGGAGAAATTTTACATAGTAAAGTTGCCAAATTTGTCCAATTTCAATAGTTCATCGCCATGTGCCAAGTTGAAATTCTGCCAATTTCAAGTGGATGTTAATTGGACGCCTCATTTTTATCATTTTATGTGATATTTCTTTATGGATTATATTTGAGTACGTATCTTAAAATCGCTAAAAGTCATTTAACTTTATTTTATATTAATAATAAAATTATTCAATTTAGAAGTTTTCTTTTACAAAATCATTCAATCAAATTTATAATTAGAAAAAAGCTCACTTTACCTCTTTTACATTTTGAATTTGAAAAATAAATATTATGATACCTCATAACTAAGCAAGTTAGCAAAAATCTACCAAATTGCTGAGGACTAAAGATCAAAAGTATCATGATGAAGTGGAATAATTAGACATTGACACATTTCTTTTGATGAATAAATGGAAATTTGACCTTATCAATTTAACTTTTAGCAATGTTCTTTCTTTTTAAATCGTGCTTTCACACACAAAAAAAAAAAATCCATCTAAATCAATTATTCAATCATTTCCGACTTTATGAACTACCTTAATTTTAGGCAAACGACTAAATTATTTAATGATACGTAGTCAAATATAGGGAAAAAATATTTTTAATCAATGATGAAGTTAAACGTGGAAATGAAAATTTCCAAGTTAAAATAATTTCTAAATAAAAAAAGATAGACATTCTTTTTTAAAAACGGAAAAATGTAACAAACCAAGGTTTGTATTGATCATAAAATAACTTGCAAGCTGATCAAAGAACAAAAGGAAGATTCCAGACTGCTATTACAAAATAGCTCATTAAAAGAAAATAACATAACTCATAGCATAGCCTTAATAAGGTAATTCTCCACTATATATAGAAGTCTTTAGTGCACATGCTCATTCCTTTAACTAGAGCCCCAATTATAATTTGATAATATATCAATTGAGTCTTCTATCATGGCTAGATTCGTAACAAAAAGATAGACATTCTTTTTACAAACTGAAAAGAAAAATGTCCACTCAATCAAGAGAAGAAGCTAAGAAACTAAGAGTTCTCAAAGCAAATTAATTGCATTTATACTTGTTCCTATATATATTTCTTTAACTTAGCTTCAACTAGTATTTATGTCCTCTAACTTTGAGCGTGTATAAATAAACACTTAAATTTATATAAAATTGAACAAATAGTCACATTCGTCTTATGTGGCATCATACATCACAATTTTGTGTCCTATGTAGCGTCTTACATGTATTATGTCATGTAGGACATATGTGTCTACTTGTTTAGTTTTAGTACAAGTTTAAAGGCTCTTTTGGCTTAGCTTAAAAAATAACTTTTAAAAAAGTCAAACTTCATTAACTTCTAAGTTTAAAAAAAAGGCGTCCTACATGTATTATGACACGCAAGACATGTGTGTCTACTTGTTCAGTTTTACAAGTTTAAAGGCTCGTTTGGCTTAACTTAAAAAGTAACTTTCAAAAAGTAGTTTTAAAAAGTCAAACTTGATTAACTTTTAAGTTAAAAAATGAAAAGTAGGGGTCCCTTTTTTTAAGTCGTTTTTAAGTTAAAGACTTCATTAACCTTTAACTTTTTAAAGTCGTTTTTAATATCCAAACACTCATGAGAGCTGAAAACAATTTTAAATTCAGTTTAAGTTAAACTAAACACCCTTTAAATGTCTACTTGTGCACATCCAAAGTTGGAGGGTGTAGATATTAGCTAGAACTAAGTTGAAAGACATATTACGTATTATGCTCCTGTTGATAATTGGGCTTTTCAATCTTTACAATTTATTAATGGGTAAATTTTAGGAATCACATAGTTTTAATATGAAATTACAATCTATCCCTCTTTAGTTTGTAATTACATTAATCCCTTAAAAAGTAACACAAACCGGATACATAATATGTAGCTCGGATACATTAAAGAGTATCTCGGATACATTATAACATAAACCGGATACATAATATGTAGCTCGAATACATCATAAAATTAACCGGATACATAATATGTAGCTCGGATACATCAAATATTGGCTTGGATATATTAATATGTAACTCGGATACATTAAAGAAATAAGGCGAATTTTAGAGGTTTTTAAAAATAGAAGAAGATATTGGAAAAAAGGGAAACATAAGACGTGTATTTCAACAATTTTTCCATTTTTATTTCGTTGGAGCAAGTCAGGAAATTTGAGAAATGATCAATGCATTATTTCTAAATAACCATAAAATGATTTTTAAATAAATCGCCAACACGTAGAACTTAACTTCTTTTCATAATCATTATATAGTTTTATTCTAACACATATGGTTCATTCTGATCATCTTTTTCTTGAAAACCATTCAAAATATTTGAACTTAGGAATATGTAAATTTTTGTGGGCTGAAATAATAAAAATAGTTATGCAAGTCGGGTTGAAATTTGGGCAAATTACAGAAATCACATACTTTTAAGGTAAAATTACAATTTATCCCTTAAATGTTATAATTACAGAAATCCCTCAAACGGATACAATAATATAAGCGCTGATACATTAATTTGATGCCCGAGATACATTAATCGTTAAGTAAGATACATTACATTTTATACATGATACACTAATCTGATGTACATTTTATACATGATACACTAATTTGATGCACGAGATACACTTATCTGATGCGCGAGATATATTAATCTGATGCGCGAGATACTAATCTGATGCGCAAAAATGAGGAATTTTGGAAATTTGTAAAATTTATAGGGAATGTATTAGGCATCCCTCGAGTCTCGTGATTTTAGCACAATCACTTTTATTAACTTATATTTGACTTATATTATTATTATTGTTTGGATAAATTGTGTTGTAGGCCATAGTTTGCTCATATTTTTTATTGTTGAATTTTACTAGTCTTAAACTGCATAACTGCATTCTCGATTTTGACATACAATAGCTTAGAAGCATAACTGATTTCTTCTCTCGAGTGCATCACCTAATATTTTTTCTGTCTATGTATACATTTAATTAAAGCTAACTATTAAAAATAATTTGACCAAGGTGTCACCACATCCTTGAATTTCTGTTAGTGTCTCAAAAAAAAGATGTGTAACCACATTCTTAATTGAAATAATTTTTTTAAACATGTCAATAATTATTTGCCTATTAAAATTCGTTTGTCAATTTTTTAGTGTGAATCAAGTGGTGTTGAACTAAAATCGTTCAATCAAAATTTATCGATCTTTTGTTATTTCAAAATAATATTATCAATATCTCGTTATTTAAAATAATAATGATAATAATATTTCATTATAAACATGTATACGGTAGTTAGTAAATCGATTAAAATTGTCTTATTATTATTATTATTTTTGTTAGCCCCCAAAAAATCAAGACAACACACATATTATAGCATAAAAATAACTTAATATTTTTCTAAACACAATTAAACAAAGAATTTATTCAAGTTAGTAAGACACGAACATAAAAATGAGTGAGTCTCTACGTGAATTTGTCCTCTTGCTCTATAATTCTATATGAGTTGTGTTGCAGAGTAGGTATGTGTTTGTGTGGTGGATATAGGGGTGGGGTAGTGGGTTGTGAGAGGTGTCGTGTGAGGTGTGGGGTGTGTGATGAGGACGTGAGGGAGTGGGAGTGTGGGGGTAGGTTAGTGGATTTGTTTATTATTATTTTTTAATAATTAATACATACCATATAGTATAATATAATAATAGAATATTATTTAATTATTTTTTAAACTAACAAAATTAAATAGCTAATAATAAATTATAATTAAAATATATTAAAATAAAACATATCTTTTTTTTGTTATTTTAAAATAAACTTACTAAAATAAGACAAAATCAAAATATTTAACTTAAACATAAAAGAAATATTTAAGGAATAAAAAATAGTGTAAAATCTTATGTTTAGTCAAAAATTATGTGTCTACATTAATCTTTCATTTTAATTTGTTTGTCATATTTAAACTTGACACAAATTTTAATAAAGTTAAAAAAAATGAATCATGTGACCTTAAATTAAAGACATAATACATAAATGTACCCTTTAATTTTGGCATCAACTAACAACTATGCCCTTTAACTTTGGGTGTGGTAGACACTTGAACTTGTATAAAATTGGACAAAAGACACATTCGTCCTACATGCATTCTACATGACAATTTTGTGTCCTATGTGACGTCCTAATACGTGTATTATGTCACGTATACGTGTGTGTCTACTTGTTCAATTTTATACATAGTTAATTATCTACTTGTGCATATCCAAAGTTGGAGGGCATAAACGATGTCAGCTAAAGCCAAGTTAAATGACATAATTATGTATTACGCCTAAATTAAAAGTGTATAGAATATATCAAAAGTCATAATACATAAATGTGCCCTTTCACTTGGCCTCATTTTAAATTCACGTCTTTCAACTTTGGGTGTGCACAAGTAGACAACTTAACTTGTATAAAATTTAACAAGTAGACACATGAGTCCTACGTGGCATAATACATGTAGGACACCATGTAGGACAGAAATTTCCATGTAAGATGCCATGTGGACATGTGTATTTATATATTTAACTTTATACAAACTTAAGTGTCTACTCGTACAAATCCAAAATGAGTATTACATGGGAGTAGCATGCAAATAGTAGTACATAAATGAAAAGACTCTATATAATTGTGGATAGTAAGTTGTAAATTACTAAATCAATCTTATTTCCCTATTTCTTGAAGTTGCCGTGCAATATGATATGGCGATTTTCCAGTTATTCGGGTGTATTGTTTATAATTTTTCTTTGGTGATATGGCTTCTGAGTATTTTTTTCGAATCTTTTATAGAGTCATCCGTAAGGACTGAAGAACAATTCATATAGCATCACTATGATCCACGTTATTTTTTAGCATTTAAGGACCATTCAATAGGAATTAGATAATTTTCACTATTTTTTACGTATTAAAGTCTATGAACTTCTTAGTGATATGACAAAAAAATATGAAAAAGAAAAATTTGCATAATAACTGTAAATTTCATTATATGTGCATGTGAATTTCATTGTTAAGAGCGAAAATATGAGCGAATTCTTCTTATGTATATCCTATTGAGATTAACTTCTCTTCATTTACGGTGGACAAAAAAAATTATATCTTCAATTTATTTTTAAAAATACTTCTTTCTCTTAATATATTCACATATTATTACTATTTGAATAAAATAATTTAAAAAGGGTATTATATGATAAGTTGAACTCTAAATTAATTATACGAGTTTGTTTAGGATTCTTATTTGATTGCCAAAAAATGAAGAAGGATTCTTTCACCACTTTCTTGTCCTCATTATTCTCACCTCGTTGGTTCTCCATCAACACCATTAAAGCAATTTGAGACAATCATCAATGATGACTTTTTACTCTCTTTTTTTTCTTTTTAAAATCTAGACTAATTAATCTCATAAAAAAAATTATTCATAACTAATTAAGTCTTCTTCGCAACATGAAACTGTTTTTGGATAAGTGCTTCTGTTACTTCATACTGTATTTTCTTTTCTTAGTTCATTCAATCAACAATACAAAAATTAATAATAAATTTTGATCCATATATCATTATATGTACTTCAATTTATTTAAATAATACTCATAGTATCAAAATTATTTGAAAGTTATTTCAAAAAAATAAATCTTAGATACGTAGAATGTGTTTTGAAAAAAAAAAGAAAAAAAAAGCTAAAATAGGTGTTAACTCCTTTTTTCCTCCACAAAAGAAATATTTTTATTTTTAATTTTTTTTAAAGGGTTTATCAAGATCAAAAGTGACAAAAATATGTTTCTGAATTGGATTCTTCAGATCCAATTATTGAAATGCACTTTGGGCTACGTAGAACAGTAAAAAATAGTAATAATTAATGATAGACATTTTCGAAATTTTCAATATAGGCGGCTATGCTAATACTAGTATTTTTCTACAAACTAGAAATCCATCGATCTTTGTCTTGTAAGGAAAAAGTAATATTGTCTTTATTTGTTGAAATGTTGCATAATACATAAATATGATTTCTAACATAGCTCATAGAATACATGTATCTACTTATACATAGTCAAGTTGTAAGGTATAGTTGTCCGTTAAAGTTAAGTTAAGGATAGTGTTTATGTATTATGCCATTTATAAATGAAGCTAGATATGGGATGTGTTCGATATGAAGAAAAATGTTTTTAAAAAAATATCTTCTAAAAAAATTAATAAACAAGCGAGGTTTTGAGTATTACATGGAAGTAACAAATAGTAGTACATATATAAATGATCTTTAACTTGGCGTTAGTTGACAACTATGACCTTTAATTTTGGATATATACAAGTAGACACTTAAACTTATATAAAATTGAACAGACACACTCGTTCTATATGACACCCTACAAGGCAATTTCGTGTCCTACGTGCACTACATAAAAGATTATCTTTAGCGGCAATTAATTAATAACAATAACTCAATTGTCGCTAAATATGTATTTTTAGTGGCAATTAACACTCTTTGTATATGTCCCCAAAGCCTTTAGCGACATTGGATCTAATTACACTTAACTAATGAATCTAAATGACTTTTGCACTCTTTATTAATGTGTATTTATTACCGCTAAAAGTTATTTTCGTTGTAGGTGATGGAGTCCTACGTATATTATACCACATAGCTCAAAAACACGCGTGTCTACTTATTGATAGTCAAAGTTGGAGGGCATAGTTGTCCGTTGAAATTAAGTTAAGGGTCATGTTTATATATTATGCCATTTATAAAGGGAAAAAAGACAAATATACCCATGAACTATCGTAAATGGTATGTAGATACCCTCCGTCATTCTTTTGGAACATTGGTGCCCTTGCCATCCAAAAACTAGAGCATATATGCCCTTCACTCTAACGGAAGACTAAATAGGGACACATGACGCAATCTTATCCGTCGATCCAATATTTAATAAATGTCGGTCGGTGGATAAGATTATGACACATGTATGTCTGTTAGTATAAATGGTATATATGCTTTAGATTTTGGATGGCAAGGGAACCAATGTCCCAAAAGTATGACAAAGGGTATATGCATACCATTTACGATAGTTAGGAGGTATATTTGTCCATTTTCCCATTTATAAATGAATCTAGATATGGGGTGTGTTTGATATGAAGAAAAATAGCAAACAGTAGTACATATATAAATGAAAAAACTAGTTATATATTTGTGGATAGTAAGTTGTATACTACTAAAACAACCTTATTTCCATATTCCTTGAAGTCGCCATACAAAGTTAGTGAACGTTCGTAGTGAAACCCAGCCTTCTCCAAAACCCTATGAGAAGCCTTATTCTCCAAAACAGCATACGCTATAATCTTTACTATTTGAGGGAAGTCATTAAACACTTGAGGGATTGCCATTTTGAGTGCCTTTGTAGCAATTCCTTTCCCCCAATACTCAACTGCAATCGCGTAACCTATATCTACAGCTTCATTTACCTTCTCATGAAGACAATCCGACATGGCCGGATGGATTACCCATAAGAATCCAATGGATCGATCGTCGATACATATTGATAAATACCAAGGTTGAGGTATACACACTTCCTTGATGAAACTCAAGGCTTCTTCTTTTGTGGTCAAAGTATCCCATCGGATGGTACGAGTTACGCGATCATCTCCAACCCATAACAATATATCATCAACGTCTGTTAATCGAAATGGACGCAAACTAATTCTTGATGACTCCATTGTATATATTGAGACAAAAGTATTTGAAGCAAAAGGGCTATTTGATGTGGAATTAAAGGAAGGATGTGTTGTTTTGGGCTATTGATTGAGTTGTGGAATTTATAGCCACAATGAAAGAGTGACTTGACTTCTTTTTCCTTGGAGCCAAATTTCTATGTGCCAATTTACTTGGACTGACTTCTTTTTCGTAGGAGCTAAAGTTGTGGAGGAGAATTATCCAAATCACTTCATCAGATTTTATTTTTTTCCCATTCGGTGTTCAGAGCCCACGTTGAAGCTCTGATTAAATTCGGATCGTGCACTGCAGGACCCATTCGGGGGGTGGCGCTCCCAACATGATTTTCTCCATACGCAGGGTTCGAACACGAGACCTATGGTTAAGAGTGAAGTACTCCCACCAGTGCATCACAACCCATGTTGGTACTTCATCAAAAATTACGTAGCAAAGTTATTTAATTTTATTTTGTAGTTATAAAATCATTTACTTTAGAGCTCTTCTCCTATAAAATTATTCAACTAAATGTATGAAACAAAATTAAAAATTGTAAAAATAAATATTATTATTCGTCAGAACCAAATAAGTTAGCATCTACCAAATTGTTGAGGAGCAAAGATCAAAAATATCATGGTGAAGTAGAATAATTAAACATATACGGCCCAACATATATAGTTGGACATTTCTATGATTACAACTCATTTCTTTCTTTTTATGAACAAATGGAAATTTGACCAAGTCATTTTTTGGCAATGTCCTTTTTTTCTATGCTTTCACACATGAAGGATCCATATAAATCAATTATTGTGTTCAATTTGTAACTTTAGACTACAAGAAAAAATCATTTCTAATAAATAGTGCAATTAAAAATGAAATATGAAATTTCTAAGTTAAATTATTTCTAAATAAGAAAAGATAGACATTTTTCTCAATAAATTTAAAAAAGTTAAGAAACTACATTGTACTCAAAGCAAATTAATTAGATTTATACTTGCTCCTATATTATTAAGTTTTTTTTTTTTGGGTAATAACCTATAGCAGTGGCGGAGCCACCTTACAATTAGGGTTCATCCGAATCCCCTTCGGTGGAAAATTATATGATTTATATATGGTTAAAATAACTTTTTAGATATATATAGTTGATAACGTTCAAATATACTTCTTGAAAAGAAATATAAACGATCGTATGCAATATATTTACCCAACTATGAGTCGGGGTCGATCCCACAGAGAATATGGAAGAATATTGTCAATAGTAAATATTTAACTCGATAGTCGTTATAAAAATGGGGGATTTAAATTGAAATAAAATAAAATAAAAATAATAAAAAGATAGCTTTGAACTAAGTATTTATTTATATTCAGATTATGAAAAGTAACTAGGAATGTGTTCCCCATAAGCTCATAACGCAGTAATTCTAATAATAGTAATCCTTTTCTAGTGTATTACATGCAAAGTGATAAGTTAGGTATCTCTAAATCCTTGGTCCGGCATCTAGAGAATTTCACCCCGCACCTTGGTCCGGCTACGTGTGTATACTTTACTAACCCTTACCTTTACCTCATATTAGACATCATAATCGATGTTTGGCTTAGTTATTACTTCGCACCAATCGACACTAGCCTATTAGATAGTATCACACTAAATCTATGTTGATAATTCTTTTCTTGTTAATTACCTCCTTGGTCCGGCAAGTAGTAACAAGGCGAGTTCTAACGTTGGCCACCGTTAAAAAGACTTCTAAACGAAAGAATTATCAATGCATGCAAAATACTAGTCACGAATTGCTTATTTACTATTCATACTTTGTTAATCGCTCATGGTTCCCACAACCCTAGTTATGAAAGTTAGCTACTCATTATCTCAAAAACACAATCAAAATTTATTAAAATAAATATGTTTGTGTTAATCATAAAAAGTTAAGAACAATAGCTAAACTATCTTTTATTAATCACGAATACAAATAAATAATAAAGGAGAAGAAAGAATAAACCACAATTCTCCGGCCTCCACGACGGCTCTTCCAAAGTTCCTAAGCTAGAAGAAAATTTATATTGTGTCTTGTATCTTGGTTCTTGGCTCCCCTCCTTTTTTTAAAGAATAATTTTTCAAGCCCTATTTATAGATATAGAAACCCTAAATAAAATAATTAAGTTCAAGACAAATTAGGAAAAGAAAACCCAAAAGAATTGGATTTCACAAGGTACGCGTAAACACTAAACCGCCTTATTTTTTGTTGTTGCCGCTGATGCATGGTCTTTGTGACACGTGTCATGTGCAATTCGCTGTTCTGCCTCCAATTTATTCCATATGCATAAATATTAATATTATATTACAATCCTTCTATTAAGCTGCTTGATTTTCTTCTTCAACCTTCAATCTTCAATTCATTTTAGCTCCAAAGATCTTTATTTTTCCACCAATTTAATTCTATAAATAAAATACACAATTTAGCACAATTCATAAAATTCACACTCAAAAAGGATAAATATAAATAATAAATGTGAGGAAATAATGATTAAAAATATGTATTTTTAGCCTCACATCAATAGTAGATATCGAACCCCTTTCGGCTACTTCGTGTGTCTATTTTTTCATATTTTAAACCCCCTTATTGAAAATCCTGGCTCCGTCACTGACCTATAGTATGACAATACTAATGCAAAAAGAAAATCAATTCAACACTAAGAATGACAATAATATTCAATATTTGTTCTTTAGTTTTACATTAGTTTAGACAATTAAAATACATAATTTAATTTTAATTTCCTTTAATATTTAGTCATGTAACTAATACTTATTGAACTTATTTTAGCATGATTTAATACTTTTAAATTATGATCATTTTCATTATGACTTGTTAATTTGAAATATTTATTTTACGCGATTTCATTATTATTATTTTTGTTGGATATTTTAGTGTCATTAATCATATCATATTTTGTGTTATTTTTTTTAAGAAAATAGGTGTATTTTGGTAGGACTAAAGAAATATTTGAAGTACAAGTAAATTATATGTTTGTATGAATACTTTACCCGAAAAACCCGAAACAACCCGAAAAACCGAAAAAATCCAAGGTTGAAAAACCCAAGTTTTATTGGTTTGATTTGGTTTATAAATTTAAAAATTCAACACAAATAGTTTGGTTTGATATTTGAAAAACCCAAACCAACCAGGCCATGTACAGCCCTACTTATATGTATATTTATTAAATCAAAATTTATCCTCTATATACAATATAATTTTCCAACGAAGGGGTGTCACTAAGTATACAACAACACCACATTAATAAATACAACAACACCACATTAATAAAGAAAAAACTAAATTATGTGCACATAAGTATAATGAAAGTAATTAAACAACAAGGACAATAATTGGGCTTTTCAATCTGTACAATTTTAGTTTCCTAGGAGCAAGTCAGAAAATTTGAGAAATGATCAAAACACTATTCTCAATACCATAAAATGATTTTTTACTAGGAAATTTTTTTAGTGAAGGGAACAAAATGGCTCACACATTAACAACTGAAGATCCAAAAAAGAGCCACATGACTCTCTAGGAGGATATATAACTAGGAAAATTTGTTTATTAACTTGTACTAATCTAGCAACTATGGCTAACCTAAGTATTTTGAATTCCAATATAATAACTAGTAGTATGGCCCTAGATGGAGAGGGACCGATTCCAAACAATCCTCTAGCTAGGAGTGCCAAATGGGCGGGTTGAGTTGAAATTACAGATATTAAAATGGGTTGACATAGAAATTGAGTTGGATTCTAACCCGCACAAATTTACTTTGGGCTCAAATGAACTTAAAAGTGGGTTGGGCTTGACCCGTCCAATTTGACCCGCTTAGTCTCAATAATTTTAATATATTGTTATTTAAATTTTATAACCACAATTTGAATTTCAACTCAAGAAAATTCTAAAAAAGAAGTTACAAATGGATAGTTAAATCTTAAAAGATATAAAATAAGATAATAATTCATACATTCAATATAGGAACATACATTACACCAATGGAAATAAAGAGTTTTAAAACAGGTTGAAATTGGAGATTAAATTGAACTCAATTGAAGATTTTCTTAAAATGGGTTAAGGCTTAATTGGGTTGAGATTGAACTCAATTCAAATTATCTTGAGCCCAACCCTTAAAATTTTGGACGGATTACTTATCGTTGGGCTTATTTTTTAAACCTCTAACTCAGCCTCTAGCTAACCTAGATGCTACAATATTGTTTGATCACCAAAAAACAACAGATAGTACAAACAATATCTATCTAATTACTACTTAGTTTGTTAAATAAATAATCATTTTCAACCAAAAAAAGAAAATCATCCAAAATATTTGAATTTACGAATATGTAATAACAAAGTTTTAAAAATAGAAAAAATATGATACAGGACAGGACAAGGAAGGTTGAAATAATAATAAAAAATGTTATGCAAGTCGGGCTGAGATTTTTGCGGATATATATCATAAACGAAGTGATGGAGTTAAATAGAACAATTTTTTCATTTCAATTTGTTTGTCCTATTTAAATTTGACATAGATTTTAATAAAGTAAAAAAAAATCTTGTGATCTTAAATTAAAGGCATAGTACATAAATGTACCCTTTAACTTGACATCAACTGATAACTATTTTTGGTGTACACAAGTAGACGCTTGAACTTGTATAAAATTGCACAATAGACAGTACATTCGCCCTACATGCATCCTACATGACATTTTTGTATCCTACATGGCATCCTACGTGTATTATGTCACGTATGATGTGTTTGTCTACTTGTTCAATTTTATAAGGTTTAGGGTTTGGGGTTTAGGGGATTTAGGGTTTAGGGTTTAAGAGTTTAGAATTTCAGTGTCTACTTGTGCACAAATAGTCAAACAAAGAACATTTTTAAATTTTTAAGAAAAGGGGACCTTAATTGAAACATTTGAATTGAATTACAAGTGATTAGAATTTTACAAAACTAGATAAATTAAAGTTTATTTGAA